CAGCTAGCCCGTCACCCCTCATGGTGTTCTCTGCCGCTCTCTCCCACAGCTCTTGCAATCTCAGGATGTGAAGGAAGATGCTGTCCTTTGCTGCTCGATGGAGGTAAGCTGTGGGGCTTAGACGTCCTAACCTCAGACCCGGTGCGCCCCTCGTGCCTTAGCAGTCGTTGGGTGCAGGGGTCACTGGAGGCATCTGCAAGTCCAAGGGAAAGCTTTTTCGGGCAAGGCTGGTGGCAGATGGCTTCAGGAGTGGGCATGGACTTCTGCATCCAGAACTGTTCACCCTAAACCAGAGTAAATGCTGGTGGGCAGAACGGCCCACCACTGGCTGGAGGGAGAGAGAACTGGTTCTCTAGAGGGATGGACAGAGGGCTGGCACTGCCCACTTTCCCTCTGCCCCTCCAGGCCACCTGCTTCCTGGATCAGGCATGCCACGCAAATGACTTAGACTCCAGACAGCCCCTTGTCCCCCCTTTGCTTTGCCTCATGCTTGGCGTTTCTGTGCTGGCACTGCCCACCCCATAGCAGCCCCTCAGGAGGTGCCACTCCTGTCCTCAAGAGTGCAGCCACCGCTCATGGAAACTTCCTCCGGGATCTTCTTTTTAGAGGCTGGTTTTGGCCCAGTCCCTGGGGCAGATCTGTGCCCTGTGCACACAGCCCAGAGTCGCTCAGAGTGGGGTGCAGGCAGGAGGGGGGCTTCCCGCATGAGGGCCTCGTCTGTCAGGGCTGTCATGAGCACACCTCTCAGGCAGCTTCTGCCCAGCCACAAAGGCCTCACCCAGGGATCCTGGAAGCCAAAAGTGCTGGGAGTGCAATGGCAGCCTTGGGTCTGTGGGACGGTCCCCCCGTTCATTTGCTGGGATCCAGCTAGGGACCCTACAAGGGGCTTGGCATGGGGGAGGTGGGGGAGCAGGAGAAAGCAGCCCTCAGACAGCTTCCGGTCTGGGTAAGGGTAGATCTCTCATAGGCACGCACACAGTGGATGTGCAGTGTGGAAAACAAGTGTGAGCACAGAGCACACAGCCCTAAGGGGTCGGAGGACAGGTCGGGAGCGCTCAGGAGGTCGAGGAAGGCTTTGTGAAGACAGTGGAGCCTAGAAAAATGGGTGGGACGAGGCTGGGGTGGGGCAGAGGTGGGGATTGCGAGTGTATGGAGAGGGCCTGGGGGCTGCTGCCTGGGGGTGTGCCCATCCAGGAAGACCGGGGCTCCTTCTGCCCAGTTCGGCTTTTTGAGAGGATCAGGGTCCCTGCAGGGCAGGGCCTCTGGCTGGCCTGCTCCCCGGTTCATGTTTCTCTCCCCCATCGTGTCATAGGCATGGGCAGAGGTCAGTTCTGGGGCCTGGTGAGGTGGGATCGGGGGCAGGAGAGAAGGGGAGAGAGAGAGAGAAATAGGAGCTGCCGTCCCTGCTCTCAAGTTCCACACAGACACCTGCAGGTAACAATGACTAAGCTCATCCCCAGAGAGACGCCCTAGCAAGTGAAATGAGCATGGTGCCACCCGATCGCCAGTGGGAGCAGATCACGGCACTGTCGGGGGGTGTGAGTGTAGTCAGGGAAGGCTTCCTGTAGGAGGGAGGCTCTTGGGTGAAAGGGACAAGAGGCACATTTCTGGCAAGGGCCCCTTCAGCTCCGGGCAGCAGGTGATGTTCTGGTCCTTCTGGCTCCTGACAGCAGATCACTTGTTAATGTGGGATCCCACGCTTGGCTGTGCCCACCTCCAGCCCCCCGTCCTCCTTCCTGCCACGGCACGGAGGCCTGAGCTTGCATGTCCCTGAAACGAGCCAGCTATTTCCTGTGCTTGCCCCCAGCGCACCTAACCAAGGAGGTCAGAGGACCATTGCGGGGCCGAGTCCTGTCCTAACCCCGATTCCATACTTGCAGCTGCAGAGTACAGGCCGGCTGCTGGAGGAGCAGCTGCCCGAGATGATGACAGAGCTCCTGGCCAGCGCCCGGGACAAGATGCTGTGCCCCTCAGAGTCAATGCTGACCCGGTCGCTGCTCCTGGAGGTCATCGAGCTCCACGCCAACAGCTGGAACCCTCTGACGCCCCCCATCACGCAGTACTACAACAGAACCATCCAGAAACTGACAGCCTGACAGCCAGGGGGCCTGGCGGGCGGCCCACGGGCAGCTGGGGCCCTGGTGCACAGGGCCAGATGGACAGGCGGGAGGACAGGGGTGGCCCTGGCTGGAGGAAGACATGGGAGGAAGGCAGGCAGAGTCAGTGGCCAGTCTGGAGCCAGACGGGGAAGGGATGGAATCCCGGAGAGGAGCCCACGCACGAGCCCCCCAGCCCGAGCATGCGGCAGCTCACACCAATAAGGGAAGCATGTTTCTTTTCCTGGTGGCCCTGGCCCTCCCCTCCTCATTCCCACCTCCCCCAAGACCCATCCCCGCAGAGCTTTGTGCGAGGGATTTCATCTCCGACTCCTCTCGGCCGGGTACCGCTTGGGTCAGAAAGGACCTCAGAGGGCTGAAAAACTGGGTCGGAGACGGGGCTTGCATTGTTCCCTCATGCTGTCAGCCGCCGTCGCCAACTGGCAGCAGGCGACGTGTAGCAGATGTCCGGGAGGACAAAGGCAGGCACGGTCCCCACCAGCCGCCCCCCGCAATCGACGGCCTTTGTCAGCCGAGGCTGAGCTTTTCTCTAACCTTCTCGCTCCACCCTCCCGCCTCCTCCCCACAGCCCCCGGCCTCGGGCCTAGGGGGTCGGGGGCAGCAGGGGACATGGAGTTTGCAGTTCTACTTGCACTCTTTTGTTTACTGTGTTTTATTTCTCAAAAGTCGGTTGCTTTGAAGTCTTCTCTCTCAGTGAAAATGCCTGCGATGTGATCACACAGTCAGCACCGCGAGGACCCCCGGATTAGTGGGAGATCAAACCCGGCCCCCTCTGGAAGGATTCTAGCCACAGACAGCTTGCCAGTAGCCAATTAGGGTAATTGGAAACTTCTGCCCCGGCAGGGGTCGCGGCTGGAATCCTGTGTTCCTCGCCACTGGGACCATAGTAAACCCGGTCCTGGCCCCTCGGGCCTTGTGGCGAACAGGGCACAAAGCTGGCGAATTAAAACCAAAATGCTAGGTGGTGTTTCCCGCTCCACTCTCGGGTCTTACTGAGGAGAAGGGTGGGGTGGGAGCTGTCTGGCTGTCTGGGACCTCGGGGTTTAGCTAACGCTGTGTTACCGCCCTAGCCTGAGCCCAGGCAAGGTGCAGAAGCCCAGCCCACCCACGGAGGTTGGGAAAGGGGCGAATCCATTGAGTCATGAGAGGGGCAGTCAGGTGGCCTGGTGGGGCTGCCAGATGGAGCTTTCCAGGCTGGGGTTTCTCGAAAGGCCCTGGTCCTGGGGAGCAGCCCCTTTTGTGATGGCTCAAGAGCAGGACTCGGGGCAGCTCTGTGAGGCCAGCTTCAGATCGTAACAGGTGTCTACACAGCTCCATCTCCAGGGTCTGGAGCACACACTTTGATGAGCCCCCAAAAATGTCAGAGGCCAGCCACTTCCTTCTTTGCTTCTTTGTTGAGGCTGGTCATGCCCTGGGTCATGACGGAGCCCCTCCTGGTGTAGTCAGACGGGCTGGGAGGGGAGGGGCGGGGAGGGTCTCTCCTTACTGATGCTAAGAGAGCAGGTGGGTGGGGAGCGGCTTCCCCAGTTCTCCCAGGTCTGGCTCCAATATTGGAGCCTGGGCCTGTCCCCCAAAAGAGCCTGTTGGGGACAGGGTGATGGGGAGCAGGTTTACCTGAAACAGGTCTGTGGCCTCTGCCACAGGGAGCCCGTGCTGCCCCTGGCCCCCCGCTCTGCCCACTTCTCCCCCACCTTTTGTCACACGCTTCCTCAAGCTTCTGCTTCCTGCCTTTCCTCCTCGGCCCTCATGTAGGCCCAGCCCGGGGCGCAGGGACACCAGAAGCCCAGCAAGAGGCCTTGAGGGGATAGGGGCTGGCGCTGGGGTGCTGAGAGAGGGCACCAGGGGTCATGCTCTCGTGAAATCAGGCTGCCCTCAGCCAGCCCTGCTTCCCTCCAGCGAGGATGTGCGGGCTGTGCGTGCATCGGCTGCAAACGCGGCAGGGCCCCGGGCGAGCAGAGAGACCTGGGAGCGCGGGCTCCGTGGCCCCGAGAACAAGCCTCGCGAAGGGAGCTCCCAAACACTGTGCAGAGGGGCTCGCGCCCCGCAGAAGCGGAGACAGGGCTGTGGGCACCCCGAGGCCTGACACCCCTTCCTCCTCACGCCCTCCTTGGTGGTCTTGCCCCAGGGCCACCCTCCCTGGCTGTTAGGAGTGTGAAGAAGTGAGATATAAATATGTATACATATATAAATATATTTTTAATTACGTGTCGTGTCACGGTGGCTCCAGACTTACGGTTTGCCTAGTTTGTTCCATTGCTTGAAAGCGCTTCCTGGCCAATCCGAATAACACTTTGAGCTGTTTTTCTAAATGCAGGTTGCTGCTCCTTTTTCAGACATGAAAGGAAAACGTTGAAAAAAAAATTTTTGTTTTTTTGTCCAGAAACAACAGTAAAGCCTAAAATTTGAGACTCTGAGGCAGCTTCCCAGGGGAGACCACTCAGACAGGAACTGGGGGGCAGAAGTGGGTGCCCTGCAGACCCCCGCCCCCTCCCCTGTGCCGAGTGAGGAAGGCCGTGTCCACGTCGACCTCCGAATGTACTTGAGGGGAGGCAGAACTGGATATTGCGTTTCTGAGGCTCGTGCTGTTCCCCCCGCTCGCCCCAGTGCTTGGCGCGTGGAGGAGGCTCTGTCCAGCCATCTGATGTTGATCCTGTCCGGTCTCCCCCTGCCTGTCAGGATGAGTTAGTCATTGTTTTCCTCTGTGGCGGCGGCGGCAGGCTTGCCACAGCCCTGCTCCCCACGGCCTGGTGGCTTTGCCTAAGCTCTGGGGCCGCAGCCCCAGGGAGGCTCCCCGCTTCCCCTGGACGAGGCCGGGAGCCCCACGCCCCCGTGGGGAGCGCGCCCCTCACGCCCAGTTTCGTCTGCGTCCTTCCTTAACCAGTCTGTAAACCTTCATGGCTGGGGTCGTCCCGTCCGTCGTGTAAATGTGAATGTTGGCCGAGTTGCTATTTATTCTAATTTTTATTTTATTTTATTTTAATTTCTCCGGGGGAGGGGGTGGGGGTGTGGGAACTGTACCACGGATCAGGCCTGGGCAGCTGGAGGGGCGGGGGCGGGGCCGCCCCAGAGTCCCAGTCTGTTATCTGGCATCAGACACCCTCGGGGCCTGCCCAGGGAGCGCGCCCCTCCGCTGCCGCTGCCGAGCACTCTGTTGGGAAACCTCTGGCAGGGCCTTTGAGGACGAGGATCAGAGAGACGACTTTCCTGTGCTCGGGACACTTGCACGGAAGGGCTGGCCGCCGCCCCTGCGCCAGCTGGGAGCTGGACAACAGGACCTACCTCCCTGGAGCAGGGGCCTGGGGCTTCCCGCCAAAGCTGCGGCGGAATCCTGCTCGCGCGCCCACCTTCCCGCCGTCGGTATGTCCTGCTTTCCAGCTGAGCCCAAACTGCAAGTGGGTTTAAAGAAATAAACAACGCCAAAAACCAAAACTGCCCTGAATCCGTGTTCTCTGTGTGTTCTGCAAAGGAAATCTTTCCCGCGGGCTTTTGTGCCTTGGCGGGTGCTGGCCGGGCCCTCGAGCAGCCCCTGCCCAGGAGGTGAGCAAGTGAGAAGATTCCCGAGCTTTGGCTGCCGGGGGAGCAGGGCAGGGTCGGGCGGAGGAAGGTTGTTGTGAAGGAGCTGGTCCCGGAGAACGTGGGTGAAGGAGGTTTGTGTTCCCAAAATCTGGGAACTGACCTATCCAAGGTGGTAGAATTATTAGGCCAGGCCTAGAGAAAGTGGCTTTCGCACGAAAAGTTTGGTTTAACCACCCCCCAAACCTACCCTTTCCCCAGAAATGTCACTGTGGCATTTGGAAATGACTCATTTCAAGAGGGCCAAGACGGGCCTAGCAGCTTCCAAAAGTCAACAGCAAGACTGTCCAATCCTGGTTGGTCAAATGAGTCTTTCATTGAAGGGTCCCCAAAGGGCCCAGTGATATATTTTCCTGTGATGACATGTCCCTTGTTTTGCACAATCCCTCCCATGGCCAGGCACTGGGGACACTGCCTCTGGTAACAGCTCCTCCTTGGGGATTCTCTCTGGCTAGAACTTGCCAGTCTTTCAGCTCCTCAGGGCAGCGACCAGAATGTCCACCCCATTCACGTTCCCCTGGCCTGGCTAGGACGGTGGCACAGGAGCCTGGGGAGGGCAAGCTGAGATTTGGGCATTGTCCCTTACTGAGTCACACCCCATGACACTGCACAGGGACAGCCAGAAGTTCACAGACTGGGTAGAGGGAGCTGGTGTTAGTTAAATCGTTGAGATACTTGTCAAGCCAAATATTTTTGCAAAAATACAAAGGAGTAGGATCAGAAATTAGAGGCAAAATTAAAGGTGTTTGAAGGTAGAGAAGAGGGTGGGGAAGGAGAGTCTTACCAAACACTTCCCCAGAAGGGGAGAGGGGATTTTTCTGGGTGATTCGGTCCTGCTTCCAGAAGGTTCTAAATTACTGGATTCTAAGAAACACATCATCCAAATAATAAATGTTTTCATCCCACATTTCACCACCATCTCTGCTGTTAGGTTTCTTCTGTTGTTGTGAGAATAGGTTACATTTGTACTGGCGCTATGGGGCAGGCGGAGACTACTGTGGATGAAAAAGCTAGAACACACACACCCCACAACGTGTAAGGGCCTTTTAAGTACCAGACAAACAGCAGAAAAAGAAGGGACTGAGCAATTGGAGGGAAAAGAAGTGGTTATGCCTCCAGTGTTCGTGGTCTCTCTCCTTCCAGAAACACCCCAGTGGCTTCCTTACCCTGTCTCGGTTGGTCCACTGAAGTAGGCAGCCAAGTGTCTCTGATTCACATCTTAAAGTCATTGAGCCAAAGGCCCATCAGTAGAAGAGCCAGGGCCGGCGTGAGCCCAGAGAACAAGCGAGTCCCTCTGCGGCTCTCCCTCTTCCCACTGCAGAGCACCAGCCCCAGGGACGCCAGTCGCACCAGCCAGACAGAAGGAGCAGCCGGCGCCTCCTGGGACTGGCGGGGTGGGCAGGCTACGCAGTCTTCCCTCCGCAGCTGGGGGAACTAGGGCCATGAGGAAATACCTCAAGTCAAGGGATTTCGGTGGAGCGGGCAGGAGTAGGAGCGATGTTTCAAAGTTTGGTGCTGTTACAGAAAAGGGCCCATCATAGTATTCGATGTGTCCTCAGGCCAGCGGAGGCTGTCTTGGCTGAAATGAGGCTGGCCAGCGAGGGCAGGGGCGCCAGCGAGTTGCCGGGGTGTGGGGCAGCATACATACCGTGCACTCCGGGCTGTGTCACAACTTTCATGGGCCCTGGCACTTTTGCCTTCATCGGCCCCTTTCTTCCATTAAAAAAATGATAAAAATTGTCATTTATGACTGACTACGTTGGTATAAAGACAAACATATTATTTATTAAAATATTATTTTCAACCTAGAAGTTCATTTTTAGATTCTGACTTTAAAAGAAATTAAAACATTTTATGGGCCCCTAAAAAGCATTATGTTACCTTCGTCCACGCGGGCAGCTATAACAAGTGCCACAAGCCGGGGGGGCTGATAAACAGCGGCTCCTGAGGCTAGGGGTCCGAGGGCAGGATACCAGCGTGGTCCGGGTCCGGTGAAGGCTCTCTTCCGGGCTGCAGACTGCTGACTTCTTACATCCTCACATGGCAGAAAGGGGGTGAGAGAGTCCTCTGGGGTCTCTTACGAGGGCACTAACCCCACTCATGAGGGCTCGACCCTCATGACCTAACCACCTCCCAAAGGCCCCATCTCCTAACACCATCACGTTAGGGATTAGGATCTCGACATATGAATTTGGGGGAAAACAAACATTCAGTCCCTAGCAGCACCCTCGGTACTACGTCAGCCCTGCATGGGTGTCACCTGAGCCAGGAGTCCCACCTTTCCCTGCTGCCCACCTGATCTCAGCGTGACCCAGGGTGGGGAAGGGGGTCAAAAGAGGAGCTCTCGATACAGACTTCCAAGGAGGTAGTTGGCCCACTCTGGGAGCAGACGCA